CGACCCGGTCCCCGAGCCCAGCTTCCTGGGGAGCCACAACCTCGCGCAAGTGTCAGGCCTATGGCACCGGGCCTGACACCTGGCGAGTCTCGCCTGGCAAGGATGGTGAATGCCGAGCATCCGCGGATGCGCCAGCGCTCGGCAGCAGGTCGCTTTAGGGGCCTCCAGGCACCTGCGCAGGGCCTTGGTCGCAGCCAGGCCTGGTGGATTACCCTGGGTGTGCCCTATCTGTGCTGAAGCAACCGAAAAGCCAGGAACTTACGAGTCAGTGAAAAACTTTCAAAGAAGGAACTCGGAATCGCAACCCAGCATGGTGAGAGGACCTTCGTTGTGCCATTTGCTTCAGAGCAAGGGAGGCTGAACAACGCGGCATCCTATCACAGTGGAGAGGGCTCCAGCCCAGCTGCCATCCCCTGGATCAGCAGCTCCCAAGAGAGCCTGCGGAGTGAGAGGACCGGACCATGGGACTGCAGCCTCTCAGAGGTGTCCTCAGGTCTCTCAGCCTCTCAGAGTCCTACCTCTGGGCCTCCTTCACACAAAGGCCTTCCTCTGCCCTCCCCTGCCAGCAGCACAAACTATTAAATTGTCCAAGGCTCTGCTTTTGGCCCCAGGCTCTAGATGAGGGTTTTCCCAAGTTATCCATATGTCAACCTTTCATATGTCAACACACACACTTCACACAAGCTCTCAAGCTTTTGAGTGTGAAAATAAAGCTTTATGACATTTGGGAAATAATGAAAAGAAACACAATCAACACTCACAAGTACTGAATGCCTACTATGTGTCAGGTGCCTATTGTGAACCAAACTCACTACCACATTATCAAAGTACCATGAACTCCATTTTGCAGACAAGGCCACTTAAGGATTCATGAGCATTGTCACATGACCAAGGATCAGAAGCAAGAAGATGGCAGAGAAAGGATTCACTGTCAGGTCTGCCTGACTCCAAAGTCTGCAAACCCAGAGACTTAAAAAGACTAATGAAAGCTGGGAGAATTTTCTATCCAAACTCATGACTCAATCAACAGAATTGAAATAATTCACTGAAGTAACTATTTGGGATTCACAAAAATTGCTGTAGCATGACTGAACTACAGAGGTGTCTCTCTTTCCCACACTCTTGGGTTTGGGGACATTAAAAAGAATAAATAGGTAAGTAAAGAGAGAGTGCCCATAAATTTGAATGTTAGTGTCTGACTTTAAAGATGGTCTTTCAGCGCCTTAGCAAAAATGGCTAAAAACAAATGACAATAAGTCAAGGCAATATGCCCATGAAAATAAAAATAAATCACTCCAGGGAGTTTCTTAACAGACTTTTCCTTTCTGGCTGACTCAATGAAGCAAAGGGTAAGAAGCAGGAGTGTGTAGTATTCACTCCCCTTACAGCCTGGACCAGAGATTCTGCTGACTTCTAAGTTCTCCACATGTGTCATCACATCATCTACATCAGTAATAAAATAAGGAGCAAAGGTTCCAACTCCAGCTACTACCCCCACGGAGAAGAAGCACACTTCCTGATACTTGTAATGCATGATGATAGAACGATGGCTAAGCCCTTTCTTCAAGAAGCCCTCTAAAGCCCTCTTCAACTTATTAAATTCCATTTATCTCCACAAAGTGTTACAAAGTGTTACAAAATTAAGTGAAAAACGGAGGCTCCCCAGTATCTACAAGACTACCTGTATTTTAGATCTGCAGCAGAGTAGACAAGACCAACCCAATCCACTTTAATTAGTCCACCCAACGTGTATCTTCTTAATTCATGGAGCACTTCATGCTATGTCAAAATATTTTGCTACAAAAGTTGACCAATTGCCATCAAAATATGTTATAGTCTAACTTTATTTTTTAATACACAAAGTCTTCCCAGCTGAAAAAATTTAGATTCTAACTTATGTCGCAAAGTCTCAGGGCAGCTTGAGAATATTAAAAACAAGTAACATTTGTTGGGTTTGACAAATATGGCGCAAGTAGACACACATTCTAACGGAGTGTTTCCTAGACATAAACACTGACATGAAAAGTTCTGAGGGAGGAGTGGGCTAGTTGCCCAAACTACATATAAATACATATAACATATAGATATCCTCATATTTTATACACATACCACAGAGCATTTCAGGCCAATCAATACACTGTACAAGTCTATTTGTATTCATAGTGAGGAAGCTAATAAATGTTCCTGCCTTCTCTTAAAATAAGGGAGTTTTTGTACAAGTTCATAGTTATTTAAAAAGGAGTTTTCATATCTGTGAGCGAGATTTTCATATGCTCTTGCCAAGATCCTTTGAAATGCTGCTTTAGCATTAGGAAATAGAAGAGATTATGGTTCCTTTCCTATCTTGAATATATCTGTCAGCGCTCCTGTCCTTGGGTTCCCGAGTAAGGGGGGGGATGTCATTAGGTTACAGACTTGTTCACCTACTGACTTCAGAAGGCCAAGTTAAAGGAAGAGCAGACTTTCACTCTTCATTTCATACCCTCCTTCTGTATTGTTTGAACGCCTTCACAATGGATCTACCATGGTTTTCATTTCTGGAATTTGCGTTTCGCGTTCTAGGAAAGGTGAAATATAAAATGCGTCGGCGCTTTGAGTGTCTGGAGAGGCCCACAGTCACGCGTGGGCGTGCGGGAGAGCCAGCCGCGCCACGCCTCCAGTCCCCGGTGCCTCTCCGACGCCTTCGCCGGCCCTCACCTCTGTTCCGGAACCAGGGCCTGCTTCCCCGCCTGGGCAGCGTTACTCGCGCGGGCTGTAAATCCTTCCCGACCGCCGCCGAGGTCACGGCCCTCAGCCCCGCAGGCCGAGCCCCGTGGGGCCGGCGCCCATCGATCCCCGGGAGTGCCGCCTGCTGGCAGCGCCGTGTGCGCCCCGGGCGGGGGGTGGGAGCGCGGATGGGAACGCGGGTGGGGATGGGGACGAGAAGAGGGGTGGGGGTAAGGGTGAAAGCAAGGGCGGAGGGCAGGAAGAGCACCGCGATCAGGAGCCCTCCGCATCAGGGCTCACGCCCCGGGGCTCCAGCCTTCACCCTTCTCCTGCCTTCCCGCGCTGCAGGCTAGAGGGATGGGGAAGAGGTGCTGATGCGCGCGGTGGGTGCCCGGGCCTCGACTGGCAGAAGATCCCGCACCTAAGACTGAGTTTGGAAGGTCTCGCCCCGCTCCGGCCCACGAAGGGCTCTCTTCCAACACCAGGCGTGGCCGTCGACGCCACTCTCACTCCAGAGCCCCCGCTGCGCCCTGCCACCCACGCGGCCCTCTCCACCACCATGCGGGGGTCTCCCCGACCCCCGGGCGGGTCTGGGAGCAGATCCAGAGGCGAGGCGGGTTGGCCTGGCCACCAAGAAGGGGAGGATTGCGGTCGCGTGCATTCGGGGCGGCCCAGCACGCGGGGAATTGCGCGGGACTGTCCCTCTGCGCGGGTGAAGCTCCCGGCAAGGGGCGGAAGCGCTGCGCCTCCCCTGCCCGGCCTGGCAGCCGGCTGGGCCCGGGGACCGACAGGGAGAGACAAAGGGGGAGGGAAAGGAGGCGGGAGGGGAAGTGTGGGTTTTATTTGTCTCCCGATGACTGTATTAATAAATTAAACGGGAGCGCCGCGTGCGAGGGTGAGAGAATATTGCGCGGAGATAAACCTCGCCGGCCCCTGCCCTGCGAGGCCTCCATATACAACGCGGGGATGATGAATAGGAGCCGCGAGGGGAGATCGAAGTGGGTCTGGGCTGGCTCTGCTCTGCCCTACAAAACTATAGGGCAATTAATTGTGGCTTGTCCCCTCATCCTTCATCTCCTGGTGGCACATATCGATGGAGATTACTGCTGATGGACCATTTTATCACCTTAAATAAACAGTCGCCACCTCTTCTAACCTCAATCTAATATATGGCTCCATGTTCAGTTTCAGGGCACCAGATAACGAAAGATGTAAAACAGCTAAATCGTGTGTGTTACGGGATGGGGCTGGGCCTGCACACGAAAGGAGAGAGACCAAAGAGAAAAAGAAAAATAGAACCACACCCGAGCCCACACGCCGACGCCAGGCTCCCTCCCAGAGCGACCAGGTCTGAAATCTAAGTGGCTCCCTGGACCCTGACGGCGGGGATGCGGTGCCAGAGGGGCGCAGCAGATGCGCCTCGGTGGCACCGAGTTCGCTGGTGGGCCACTGGGCTCGAAGTTCCC